TCTCTCTCTCTCTCTCTCACACACACACACACACACACACACACACACACACGCATTTAAGCAGCACTGCTCTGTTATCCTTGCATCTTTGCATTGAATGAAATGTACTGTATGTAACCATGACAGGCATATCACATGGGTTTTCTTGCTTTGTGTGTGTGTGTGTGTGTGTGTGTGTGTGTGTGTGTGTGTGTGTGTGTGTGTGTTTTATAAATTCCTGAATTGATATTGTTTATTCAGGTCCCCAGCTCATAACTGAAACAGGATGTCGTCTGCTGCAACGCTGCGAGTCAGACGGCGTCCCCTGGTGGCGCGGTGTGCAATCGCTCCACGAAACCGCCTCCCCGCGCTCCCCTTCTCCGCATTTGCGTACAATCCGATTTCGTTGTGACGTGAAACACGAGGATACGAGGATTCCTTGACGTTTTCATGTACGAGCTGGTTGACGTTTCGACTGGGCGGGTTGACCCGGACTCCTTCCATCTGGGTCGGATGCTGAGATGCTGCTGACGGCCCGAGCCTCTTGACTCCCTGTCCGTTGGAGGAGAGAATATCAACAAGAAAGACAATATCCTTAAATCTTTGGCAACAGCCTGTGATTTTTGTCTCGTTTGTGCACGCGGAGGAGCAGCGCAGACACTTGTGAATGAACCGCGACATGTTGTGAGCTTCGAGGCCGGCGAGTGGTGTCGGCGGGCGAGATGAAGGCGCGGAGCAGACCGAGGCAGACGCTGCTCCTCCCCCGGCTCTGCGTCAGTGGACTCGGTCTGCTCGCAGCTGCCTGGGTGTTGCATCTCAATGACGTTACAGGTGCTCTTTACAATTTCCTTGTACCCATTATACAATATTTCAGGAAATGTAGAAAAAGGAATATTTCTTTATTAAACGCATGCGTTGAGCAGGCAACGATCACATTTTATAAACGTGTGTTCACTATAGCTTCCCCTCTTTGCAGAATCTCGTGGACACTCTGGGGTTGTTGATATCTTCTTATCCAAAAAGCAGGTCGCCATCGCGAAAGATGACAGCAATCAGTCCTCACAGCCTTCTTCTAAATCTGGTAAGACGTTCGTTCTCTCCTGTGTTATAAATGGCACGAGGAAGATATGAGGGGCGTTTCCATCATTTAGCTCTTAGAACAGCGGTTCTCCAACTTTTTCCACCAAGTACTACATCAGAAAAATATTTTGTCTCTCTAATGGCACCACAATAATGATCAACATTAACATACAGTAGTAGGCATAAGTGTGAATAAAAAACGATGCAGTGGTTTATCTATCTATCTATCTATCTATCTATCTATCTATCTATCTATCTATCTATCTATCTACTACCTACAAAAAGTTAGGGATATTTGGCTTTTCAGGTGAAATTTCAGGACGAGCCTAAAATGCATTCAAACCTTTACAGGTGAACTTAAAGGTCAAATGTGAAGTATACTGTGTTTATAAAATCCCAAGTGAAAAATACTTTGTAATGCTTTGAATCGAATGTTTTCATAAGCAACAGCCAAAGTTATTCATTGATAAGCACATCTACCTTTTTTGGATAGCCGGTTGAGAAAACAGAGGTCTTTGAAGTGCTTGTAACAAAGAATGCTCGTCAACAATTTCTTTCGCTTTGTGAGAACGACACAGAGCGTTGCAATTTTCTGGTCCATTTACGTGCCCTATTCTTTTCTTGTCGCCAGTCAAACAACCGTTTGGCTGAATGTGAACGATGCATTGCTGTACAGCGCTGAGGCATTTCGCCGAATAACTCGATAACAATGTCAAAGAGCAGTTAACGGGACAAACCAACAATGCATTACAATGTCTGACTGGCGACTGCAATCTGCAAATGGCATCACTCACCGGAGATTGCCCAACAAAAGCATTTTCCTTGTTAAGCGCATTGCTATGGCTCTAACTATGAACTTAGGTGGGTTGCTTTAAAAAAAAAAAAGTATGCACTAAGTATTACTCAAAAGATGGTTGGCCTAGTGGACTTCACACCTGACTTGTAATGTAACTTTCTCAAAGCTTTTGACTGCACGTGTCCAACTGTTCAATGTTTCAGTTCTTTTTGCACAAGTTGCTGTTCTCGGGAAAAATTTACAACAGGCGTTTGCCCCTTGAATCAACCAATAAATGTCCTGGTTCAATTCGAGCTTGTATTTAAACGGTCGTCCTCATCATGCTATTAACATTTTGACATCATGAGACCAAGACGACATCTAACGATGGAGCAACAGTACCTTGCCATCGTGATGCTTCAAACCAGACGTTCTCAGATGGAAGTGTCCACTGAGCTGAGAGTGTCCCGCAGAGTGTCATCAGATGGTTGCAACCTCGATACTGGAAGAGAGACATAAAGATGTGGGAGTGGACCTTCGGACACATCCCATGCTGATGACCTCCATTGTGAACAATGACCCTTAGAAACCGGATGGTGAATGTCACTCAACTCTCAGCGTGTTTAAGGGAGGTGAGAGGCACCCAAGTGTCACGTCAGACCATTTGAAATCGTTGACATGAGCGTGGTCTGCGTGCTAGATGACCTGCAAGGGTACCGGACCACTCCACCAGGCACAGGCGTCATCGTCTTGCATGAGCCAGGGAGCATTTACTCTGAACGAGGGACCAGTGGGCTTCGGTGCTGTTCTCTGATGAAAGTCGATTCACCTTGAGCAGAAATGATGGCCACCAACGATGTTGGGGAGGTCAAGCAGAGTGCTCTGCATCAGTCACTGTTGTCACCGGACGAGCTTTTGGTGGTGGCGGTGTTGGTGGGGGCAGGCGTGTCCATTCGGTACAGAACTGCCCGACACTTTGTGACAAGCCCATCCTACCTGAATAACATTATTAATGTCGTGAACAATACGGGCCCAATTTCATCTTCATGGATGACAATTCTCAAAAAGAGTGGGAAGTCATGCCTCAGTAGACAATTCATCGACTTGTGAACAGCATGAGAGGTCGTTGTCAAGCTGTAATTGATGCTCAAGGGCACATGATGAGTTGTTGAGAACGTTGACATTTTTTGTTGTGGTGTACCCACCATTGTTGTTAGGTTTTGTCTGAGTGAATTGTTTGAGATGAGGAAATCATCGTTCAACTTAAATGTCCTACTTTAATGATATAATATCACTTTTTACATTTCCCACAAATTTTACTTGAACTATCCCTAACTTGTGAGTAGTGTGTGATTTATGATTTAGAGAGGTTTTTTTTTTGCCTACTATGATAGGGAGAGCTCATATACAGCACTACATTTTGAGAATTATTGTCTGTGAACAATACAAGACAATATTTCTTCGTAGTGCCTCGTGATTCATATCTGGATATTAATATTCGGAGCACTGAATGACGAGGTCACGCACAAATAATCTTTTATAATATCTCACTGTGTGCACTGTGTCTTGGCAAATCATGTGCCCACCACGGAGTGTGCCGAGTACCACAACAATCGTGGGGCATATTAACTGCACATCAAAACATTGAGGCTCACATACTGTATGTAGCCTTTGAGGGCTGCGGTTGCTAAGAAACTGAAGGATGCTTCTGTGGTTGGAATCTGTTGAATCAAAGCGGCAGTAACCTGCTGACGACTGGCCCTCTTCAGCAGTAGCTCTCTCATCACTTAAACATGTTCTCCTGTAGTGGGGCCAATTTTGAGATGCTGGAAGTGCTGAGAGGAGCTGCGCAAGGTAATCACAGAGAATGTGCTTTTACTTGTAACTTAAGACATTTATCTTTGAACAAAATGCATGTTTGAGCACAGAATGGCTCCTTTGTCCAACGTCAAATCTGTCGCACTCGAGTTTACTGTCTGACCTTTCAGGGAATGACACTGGAGAAGTTCAGCTTTGCGGCTTTTGGAAGTGAGCAACATAATTGAGAAAAGTCTCAAAGATGGCAGACGTGATAGTGGAGAGTCACAAGGAAAAAAAATGGGAGGAAACTAATTTGGGGTGCAAGTAAAGCAGCTTAGTCAGACACTGAGCAAATTTTCCCCAAAGAGGTTTTCGTCAGTCCCTCTTTGTACAGTTGCAGGGCTTGTAAACTGTCTGGTGAAAGGAATTACACAAAAGGAACTGGTGGGAAAGTTGCTCCAAAAAAACTGGTTTAAACTAGACTTTTCCGATTTTCTGTCTGATGTTGAAAACGTGAATAATTGAATTATTTATGCTTCAGTTAATAGTCCACTGTTTGTTGTTGTTGTTGTCATCTCTTACTCAGCCATCAGCGAGTTTCCCGAAGACATTTTTACACTGGAGCAGCGGAGACAGGGAGCAGTTGTCCTTCATGTGCTCTGTGTGAGTAAACAGCTTGCCGAGATGAACGCTGGAAGAATCTGATGACGTTTCTTGAAAAATCACACTTCTCTGCTCTTTGCAGGCTATCTACATGTTTCACGCGCTAGCCATCGTGTGTGATGTTTATTTTGTGCCATCCCTGGAAAAAGTCTCAGAGGTCTGAGAGGATTTTTAGTGTGTTTTGTTATTCAGAATGGACTTTTCTTCTTCATTTTGAAAAGCAAAAAAAACAAAATATTCCACCTTTAATGAACCTCCTTTGCTGTACTGTAGAATCTGCAACTCAGCCAGGATGTGGCCGGGGCAACATTCATGGCCGCCGGGAGCTCTGCCCCGGAGCTCTTCACCTCTTTGATTGGTCAGTACTAAACTCATTTCGTCTATTACTCACTCTGGAGTTAACACAATCATACTCTATCAGCAAATTGCGAGCAATCATCAGCATCTTCGCCCGATTGGGACTGATAGTTGTCTGGTGAGTCACTGATGGGGCTGACTTTTATCGTTTCCTGCATGGATATTCATCGGAGATGTGAGTGTTTTACGTCTTTTTCTCATCCTAAACTGGGATAGAGTTCAGCTTTCCTAGCAGTCAGAACGGAAGCAGAGAAGCCGCTGAGTCGAAAAGGGATGGATTGTACACCTACTCAATTTAGCTCACACTGAAAACATGATGAAAAACCGTCAACACACACCCAAAATCTGTGTTCGCTCTTCATTTTGACATTAAGTCCCAAATCAACTTGAATGGATTAGTAACTGTACTTTTTTCCAAAAAACACGTCATAGTCCAAAAAAAAAGAAAAATCCAATTCAGCATAATGGTAAATGTAGTGCACTGACATAACACTTTATCCACACCCTACATTGTCCAAAGCCTCATATTTACACCAGCGTGTTGAAGCAGCAGTGCGTCATCCTACAGAATGGTTTTCCTTTATAATTGAAAATAACTTACTGTAAATTCCAGCATCCCACAACGTTTCCTGGCCAACGGCAGAATCCAGGGCGTTTTTTTTTTTTTTACCCTAACCCTGACTAAAATCCATCCTGCTGTGTTATACTAGCCTCATCCTAGCTAGCACTAAGCTAACCTGTCATCTACGGTCCAGTGTCCCAAGTATCCAAACTCCCTTTGTATGCTGTTGTGACGGCATGAGAGGCCAACAGCAAAGTAACAAAGACGTTAATCCACTGCCGAACTGGGATTTATTGACCGACCGCTTAACAGTTAAATTTAATGCTCATCAGCCGGCCAAATATTCCCATACACACACAAACGCTGTTGCGCTTTCATGCACGTGCGTTTCACATATACAGCAGTATATACGTTACAGTGAGACATGAGTGCCAGTCAAACATTCGCAATATGCTATTACCGGTCCTGACTCAAATCCGAATATTCTGATTCAGTGTTCATTTTAACGGCCAATTCATCACTCAGTACTTGACGCACACAGGCACATCCACACTTTCAAAAACTAAAATGGAAGCATGAGGAAACGATTACATTCCAGAGTGAAATATGAGAAAAAAATATACAACACTGACCTGATAAGAAGATAAACCTCATGGTTCCAAAAAGGTCACACACAAGCAAAAAAAGAAATAAGAAAAATACTGTCTTGGATTTGACGAACGTGGATGGGGGTTGTGGGTGCACAAAGACAAACCGAAGAAAATTTTACTGAATTGGAGTGAAGAAATGAGTCATTTCTTGCTTTGAGGGTGGTGCTCAGAACCGGTCTGATTTGATTCAAGCAGTAAAAATAATGGAGCGTTTTTCCACACATTATGCCGTTCCATTTTCCCACATCACAATTGATCCCGGAGGTTCTGCTCGTTGTGGAAATAAATCTCAGATAAGCAGTTCGAGAACTGCTTCACTGCTTCCCACATTTCAGACAAGCAAATGCTTTTTAAGACACCAATTTTGATTGTTGTTGAAGACACTCTTGTGTTCCCAATGATATTCGTTGAAAACATGACGGACATGTCTCTTTTTGAATGATAAGTTGTGACCTCAGGTTCTCTGGCACCGCTTGTAAAAACACTTAAGTGACTGATGTAACACTCACGAGCTGCAGTAGTATGACTGCATTTGTGACTATATGTGAAGAATGAGACAATGTGAAAAATCAGACATTCACATCACGCTACTGTTAGTTTTGAAATAGTGATTTCATCACTGTCAAATGTGTTTTCAGGAGTGTTTATCACAAAAGGGGATGTCGGTGTGGGAACGATCGTGGGTTCGGCGGTCTTTAACATCCTGGTCATCATTGGTATCTGTGGCATCTTCGCAGGACAGGTCTTACACACACACACACACACACACACACACACACACCATTAAGGTCACATTTGCTGGATCTGAGAAATAAATGTCAGATTTGTGGGTCTTCTCTCTTCAGCCAATCTGTCTGAGCTGGTGGCCTTTGTTTCGCGATGCTGTCTTCTACATCTTGTCCATCATTGTGCTCATTGTGGTGAGACACACTGCTCAGAAACCTCAGTTCATATTTTTCATTTCAACGGAGTACTTGTTCACCTAGACCAGGAGTGCCCAACCAGTTGATCGCAGTCTACTTGTAGTCTGCGGACTGGTCCCAAATTGATCGCCAGAGGTGTCGCAAGAAATGGAAAAAAAAAACAAAAAAAGATTTGTGTGTGTGTGTGTGTGTGTGTGTGTGTGTGTGTGTGTGTGTGTGTGTGTTATTAAGATTCTTTTTTGATTTTGTTGTTGTGTCCACTGCACCCTTAGCATCCCATCAGTTTCATGCTCACAGTTTTTTAAAACTTTCGATTCAAGTTGCAATGGTGATGTTTCTGCATTTAACACACCACAAAAGTGTATCCCTGGCTCTCTGTATCAGGTCTCCCACTAAGGTCGGCAGTGATTTCCTTTTTACAGATTTGGTCTTGTCTGGTATCTAGTTTATTTTTTTTGTTTCGTTCATGTTAGGGTTCATTATAACTGTTGCTCATCACGGCATGGGTGTTTGCGTGCACGTGCGCGCTTTTGGGAATGTGTATGCGTATGCATGCACGTGAGGTAATGGGTCGATCGCAGGAAGTTGGCTGCTTGAAAAGTAGGTCTTTGGTCAAAAAAGGTTGGGCACCCCTGACCTAGACAAGATAATTGAGATTTTTACATTTGAAACTGCAAACCATCATTTATTTATTTATTTTTTGTGAACTTGCAGGTGATCTACGATGAAAAAGTGCAGTGGTAGGACATAATATCAATTATTACACTATATCACATCCACATGCTAATTTGAGTATTTCTATGTGTGTGTGTGTGTGTGTGTGTGTGTGTGTGTGTGTGTGTGTGTGTGTGTGTGTGTGTATGCATGTGCCTCTGCAGGTGGGAGACCGTAATATTGATCTCCATGTATGGAATATACATAATCATTATGAAGTGAGTCTAATCTTAACCCTTTCATGCACCCTGTAACCTGATAACATGATGAAAGGCTTAATACGAAACCTCCATGCCATCTAAAGCAGTGTGCGTGTGCGTGTGTGTGTGTGTGTGTGTGTATGTATGTGCGTGTGTATAGATTCAATAGCTATCTGTGCAGCCTGGCAGAGAGATACTGCAGCAAGGCAGGTCAGCCGTGTTTGAGCGGTCTGCGACGTGCAACAGCGGTGGGGAATGCCGGCGACTGTGATGCCGACAACGTGCCGTTGAAGTCTGGTACGTGCACCCGATTGCAAGTATATCAGCTTATCCAGTGACACAATTGAGGCTGCCCCAATGGAGGTTTTAGTCAACTGAAATAGAACTGGACCACAGGGTACCAGCCCATGGGACGTTTTGCTACTGGATCGCACAGAGACTGAAGAAAAAGTATTTCTTTGCTCATGAGACTGTGAAAGAACTTTTATTTTTTAAAATCAGGTGCATGGTAGAGCTGTGTGATACCTAAGATTTTGGTATCGATTGATACTGGAGCCAGTGCCGCCCAATAACCGATACTTAGGACCTTTACGTTCCGAAAATATTTGAGTATTATGTCATTTTGATTGATTACATCACATTTTTTATTCAAATAAAACTTTCTTTTGGAGTTCTTAACCATGTCATCATATAATATCCTCAATGAAAACATACCTGCACTGTTGTTTAATCCCACACATGGTAAATTCTTGATTTCGTTAGTCCCTGTCTATTTTGGTAACTCAAAGAAACGTCAGCCACTGAAGTTCCTCTAGTTCAGACGCCTTAACCTAGCTTGTTTTGTTTTTATTCGATGTAGTCGCACTGATTACCTTATTTACTTTGGTTTTGATTTCCTTTCTGATGGCCTTGCAGTGCACTGCGGGTCAGAGAGCACGCAAGAAGAAAAACTGCACACTCTGCTGGCAGATAGTGTACTTGCATTAAACCTCAAGCTATTCTCAGACCTAGTGTACATGTATATTATGTACGATATTTAACAACTCACAAAAAGTAAGGGATGTTTGGCTTCCAGGTGAAATTTCAAGGCAAACCTTAAATGCATTAAAACCTTTACTGGTGAACTTAATGTGACCTTTTCTGAGGTTTTCAAATACACATGTCCACCTGTTGAATGTTTCAGTACTTTTTGCATAAGTTCTCCAACGAGGAGCTCAACGGCAAAATTCACAACAGGCGTTTGACCCTTGTATCGATGTCCTGGTTCGATTAGAGCTGGTGTTTAAACAGTCTTCTTCATCATTCTGTTCACGTTTTGACATCATGAGACGAAAACTCTTAGCGATCACTGACATCACCTTAGAATACTTTGTCTCTGATTTCTTAACTTAATTCCTTCCTCTACTTTCCGCCGACATCTTGACTCAGACTCGTGCGCTGTGGTCGGTCAGGACTCAGGGGTGATGATGGTGGATGAGCTGCTCAACCAGCACCCGCACCAGCTCACCTTCTCAGAGGCAAGCCTCCGCCTTCTCATCACCTCGCATTTCCCCCCCTACACCCGCTTGCGAATGGCGGGACGCACGGTCATCAACGAGGTACACCGCATGGCTTGCACCCTTTTCCTAACTCCTTGCTCTCTGTCCCTGAGTGTGCTTGTGAACTATTTGAAACAGAGACGTGTTGGTTAGCAACCATCAGCCTCAACCCATTCGTATGGGTTGCATTACTCATAATTACTAGACCTACCTTGGAAATGTATGAACATGTCAAATGGTACGATTTTTTTTTTCGTTCCTTGGTCACGTCACACGTTTGTTGCTAGGCAGTATTCATAGGGCTCAATTCTCAACGCCCAATAGACCAATAATGGTGGGGAAACGAAGAGCTTGCAAGACCAGGAAATCAAACAGAAACACACACAAAAAAAAAAAAAAACACACTTAAGTGGCATAGTGAGACAACTTGATACATGCACTTTGATTATACAAAATACATATAAATTGTTACTCTGCAGTACATATAAAATACATCACGGATAAAAAGAAGAGCAACTGTTCCATCTGATGAGGCACTAATAATGTCGTCGCCACTGAGGTTAACCGACCTTAAACTCTAAATCTAGACAGAAAGTGCAAGCCAACAAAATAGTTCAGTCAAGACTGGAACCGAAGCACTTGAAAAGGACGAGTACGGACGGGGATGGAGGGCAATTATTGTGTGAATAAGGACGGAGGGACAATGACAGAAATGTTCCCAGGTCGCAGATGGAGGACGAACCGGCAAAATAGGGTAACGTGCCCATCTCTGCGAATTGCATTTGCTCCGTGACCACGCTCGTAACGCAGAATGTATGTTTCTCAAAGTATCTTTCCCATTTGAAATGAATAGAAATGCCATTACACAGTTCAAGTCCCCCCACGGCCCAAAAATGACATTTTGTAATTACGGCATTAAAAAAACATTTGTAATGTTTTTTTTAATACCATAATAGGAAATAGAACTCTAACATTGGAGCCTGCCTGCTTCATAAAGCACAGCAATAACATAATTAAATACATGGTAAAGAATGAAATATTTTGTGCATCGTGAATAATTACTCATTGTGGTGTGTGTGACTTGGACACTGGCGCCATGCAGATGCCAATCAAGATAAGTTTCTCAACTACTGGAAAAGACTCATTACGATGCAGTAATAATTGTCATTTCTTTGCAGATGATAAAGAATATATCCCTGTGGCCATATGTGTGTGTGTGTATTTTTTATATTGTCTTTCTATATGTGTTGATGCATATGTGTTTAAAGGGTTAAACACAATGTTAGAACACACATTGCGCGCTAGCATCAAGCAAGCCGGCAAAGGCAAAGTTGTGTGGCTGTTGTAAATGCCCAACGTGTAATTCTTTGTTATGTTTCGTCTGACAAGAAACTTGAACTGGAAGTGGCATGAAACTGCTTGAAGCCCCATTTGGAAGAATTGCTTTTTTGTGAAGGGATTTGACTTCAGTGCCACCATACAGCACGCGCGAGTCAAATCAATCTTGTCTTGAAAAGAAATCATAAGTGAGGCCACACATAGCTCAAGACACCGCTGTATTTCCTCCCAAGGCTGATAGTTTTTTTTAATCACACCAATTAAAAAAAAACAAAAACGGTCACAAACTCTCTTTACAATCTGATCTGTTTCTCTGCTCCCTTGCATGTATCATCGCCATTTCCCATATTTAATTTGCTCTACTGTGATGATGTGTGCACGTGGCTCATCTCTGCTTCTCTACTTGTCAGCTGTTTGACCCCGACACGAACTAACCCCGAGCACTCCGCGGCTGCTCGGCTCGTTTGGTGCTCCACGCTCTTTCTCCTCGTACCTGGGTTTCATTCCCCCCCACTCCCTTCCCACAGAGGCAGAGACTGATCCGAGCTCAGGTCGGGGCCAAAGATGGCGGCGCCTCAGCGGACGATGGATGCGGTGCCGGCGGGTCGTGGGGGAGAGAGAACGGGTCGGTTGCTGAGGCGGACTGTCAGCCTTTGGACGCGGGGAGAAGGGAGGCAAAGGAGACCGGGCGGGAGGTCGGAGACGCAGCTGCTCAGGCTAAAGAGGAGGAGGAAGAGGAAGAGCAGGAGGCGGAAGGGGATGAGAACGCTCCCTTCAAACCCTTCATCATGCCAAGTGAGCACTTGATGGCTTTGTTGGTTGACCTCAATATCTCGTCTGATGTAAATGATTGAATCTGTAATCGTGCTTCTGGATGTGTTTGTGTGTGTGTGTGTGTGTGTGTGTGTGTGTGTGTGTGTGTGTGTGAATACGTTGTCAGATGGTCGGTGTGTGCGTGTGAAATGGCTGCTCTCCTGGCCGGTGAGTCTCTTGCTTCACTGCACGGTGCCCGACTGCAACCTTCCGCAGTGGGAACGCTGGTACTTGCTCACCTTCCTGACCTCCACACTCTGGATCGCCCTCTTCTCCTACCTCATGGTGTGGATGGTACGAAACGCGCACTTACGCACTTAAACACACATGCAAATAACTCAGTGGTCGGACTCCATTTGTATCATTCTGCAGCAGTTTTCAAAGCACAGTTGCCCATCTTGCTTGCACATTGTTTGACAGATCTTTCAAGTCCTACAGAATATCGTGATCGATAAGATGAACACGAACCTCTTTCACCCGGGAAAAAAAAAAAAGTTTCTGTCAGTCTCTGTTCTTCAGCAATTTGCAGCACATTTTGGGTTCACCAAAAACACTGCCATCTGAGCAAAAAGCAGAGAACACCGGCTTCTTTGTGAAAAGAAACATGTCGAGCAGAACAATGAGTTTGACAAGAATATATTTTTCTTTTATAAAACCTGAAATGATACAGCAGCAAGACTGAGCAGGAAAGCACTTTTGATGGTAAAATAATCTTTTCACAGATAACACAACTAAGCAGAAGTGTCAAATCCAGGTCCAGAGAGTAAAAAGCGTGCCACAGTTTGACTTTAGCCGCAGGTGCTTCTAATCAACTAGCAGATAAATACAATAAACTAAAGAAGAAGCGCCTGTGGCTAAAGCCAAACTGGGGCAGGGTTTTTACTTTCTGGACCTGGATTTAACACCTCTGCGAGCCATGACACTTAACTAAACTTGTCCGAGTTTCTCTACCTCCTAATCGACGTGACAAGCTGAGATGCGCCTTCTAATCTTTAACTCTTTCAACTCAGAAGCTGAGCTGATGTCAAATCCAAAGTGATTCAAACGTCGACATCTCCTGGTATTACAGTTGCGTTCAAGATTGAATTTCACAGACAAGCCGAGCGAGACCCTTTTCCTCGCTTACCTGTAGAAAAACGTGCTTGGCAAAAATATTTTGCCGTGGCAATGAACGGTTGCATTCCAGGTGACGAATATAAATGGTCAAAAATGGACTTCGCCCATTCCAGTTCTCCGTGTCTCAGCTGTATTTTCCTCTGTCCAGGTGACCATCATCAGCTACACACTTGGAATTCCAGACGTCATCATGGGTATTACCTTCCTGGCGGCCGGCACCAGCGTACCCGACTGCATGGCCAGCCTCATCGTCGCCCGACGAGGTGCGCGTCCGTGTCAACACAGCACACTTTTTACACTTGGTGATACACCACCACCATGATTTTTTTTTTAATCTAAAAACGGACACAACGTACGTGCATTTCGCAAGCTCGGCTCTTGTCGTTGCAACGTTAGCGTTTCCTCTGCAAACTCCAAATCAGGTCGAGGCCCGAATCTGATACTTGCGCTGTGCGTTTTCTCCTTTCTTCAATTGCCTTGCGAAGCCTCGTCCATAGCTTTGTAAACGAAGCCCGCTGGTTTTCCCGCTGTGGCGTTTTTTTTTCCCGCAGGCTTGGGTGACATGGCCGTGTCCAACTCCATTGGCAGTAATATCTTTGACGTGTTGCTGGGCCTGGGCTTCCCCTGGGCACTGAGGACACTCATTGTCAGCTACAGCTCTGTGGTAAGCTTGCACATTATATCATACTCATTCCTACCTGGGGGGGTATTCTTTGAAGTCTGTTTATTGCTAAGCATTTCACTGCAGAAAGCAAGGCAGAATTGCATTCATAACTTGCGCATGTTGCAAAGTAGGTTGCTGCATACGTAACTGATATCGCCACAGTCTAAATCTGGGAGCCAAAAGCATTACCTGTAGCTCCTTTTCCATGTTTTAGCCGCCTTTTCTCCTGCAAGTCTAACGAACAAAAATGAACCCGCATTCACAAAATGTTCACATTATCATGTTGGTCAGGCGGAGAGACGTTCAGCTCACGTTCGCCCAAAATGTGAATCAGGCACAACATTGCTTGGCGAACAAGTGACTCCCCCCATAATGCTTCACAGATGGCGATGTAAATTGTTTACCTTCGTTGCTTTTTCCTTACATAAGGTGCAGTTGATTGTTCTGTGCCTGTCGGTTAGTATAAGGGTGTGTTTCACCACATTTCTGTTATTATCTGTTAACTATTAGGTTTACATGTGCAAACCACGCACAGACCAGATCGTGGCTGAATTTGGTGTGATCAATGCCTCATGTTAGTCATCACGTGAGCTTTATGTAACTTGGGCGTTTTTAGGGGCTGTTAATGACCCAATACATTTGTTTCTTTAGGTGACTATCAACAGCAGGGGCCTGGTCTACTCGGTTATCCTGCTCTTGGCCTCAGTTACACTCACTGTGAGCACATCCGACTCAACAATGTTCGATCCATCTCAGGCTTCTTTGTCGTTCAACAAGTTCTACGAAGGACAGGAAATGACCGAATGCTTTTTTTCTCCATGCTTCAGGTCCTGTGCGTCCATTTGAACCGCTGGAAGTTGGACCGCAGGCTGGGCCTTTGGCTCATGCTGCTCTACGCTATCTTCCTGTTCTGCTCCATCAGCTTCGAGAGGCTGTAGACTAGGACACACAAACACACCACACACCACACGCGCTTTTGTCACTGGTATGAATTTCACGCCTCACGTCTAAGAGCTCCCTTAAATGGTAAATGGTTGTCACTTATATTGCGCTTTTCTACCTCGGGTACTCAAAGCGCGTTACACTTTTAACCTCATTCACCGAATTCAGCATCAGGAGCAACTGAGGGCTCAGTATCTTGCTCAAGGACACTTCAACATGGTCGAAAACTCCAACTTCTGGGTTGGGAAACGACCACTCTACCAATGAGCCATCCCATTCCCTTTTGATAAACAAGTATTTTACATGGTTTTTGTACTGCCACTTCTGCACACCACCCACAGACATTGAAAATTTGTATTCTACCTGCTGTGCTTGTACTGTGCAAAAACGTTCACTATTTCATCACTGCCACGCCTTTGTTGGAGATTACATGGCATGTAGTTGCTACTTGTTTATATATCTAATTTTTTTTTCCTGCTTGGTTTTATCATGCCTTTGTGTGGTAGTCCTAAATGAGAGGCTGACCACGCGCGACAGCGTGTACTAAGACGTGCGTGTTGGCTTGGTGTGCAGACTTTTTGTGCTTGGAAACTTGGAACTTGTTTTATTGTTTCTGATTGTCCATGCCGGGAGGATGTATTTGGCTGTGTTGTTGTCGGGTAAATTAAAACGCTGCATCATGTGAAAATGATCCCGCACTCTTAAATGCCTGCTGACTTCAGTTGCAAGATGGAACGGGACAGAGTGGTTTGGGTGATCTGAAAAAGTCCACGATTCATAGTGAGTCTTCATTACTTGTAAGGACTTTGACATCAAACCCCATCGTCAAGGACATTTAGTTGACTGAAATTTCACCCAAAAGGCCAAACTTTTTGTGATTAGTCTCCTATGCAATAAAAAGTAGTCATGTGATTTAAATGAAAACAAATCTTAGCTGAACTGGGGCTTTCCCCGTGTTGTCGAACCAGCCAATCAGAGAGCGCAACAGTCCCCGGCGAGCAGGAAGGACTGGGTCATTCAAACCAAAAACCAACCGGCAGTCTTAAATCAGACTGTGGTGCTGTGTTGTGAAAACAATCACACTTCAGCTGAGCGAAAGTAGTGGAATTTCTCAAGGAAATACACCATTTTTATTTCAGTCAGGCTTGTCGGCGCTGTCACCGAATAAATGTAAAAAATAGTACAACAAAGTACATCATTTTAAAAATATGGAGAATGGAGGCCTGACATATCCAATGAGTCAAATGAATCCAAAGGTCACAGGCATAACAGAAATACAAACAAGGCAACACAGTACATAGAATGTTGAAGCGTATACGTGAAAGTGTTCACCACACACTTTACAAAACCACTAGAAAATTCTCCCAATACCAATGGCATATTTTGTAATATATATGTATTTAATAATAAAAACAAAAGACAATATTTAGGCGAGTGCATTCACTGGGTTGCTGCTGACAATGATGTCACCGTGAGTGGTCTCTACAACATCTCTGAAATGAATGTGGCTGTGTTAACAAGCTTAATAGTGAACTAACACCAAGCAATGATATGGAAATGTGACAAGCAGCCAGTTAAAGACTTTAAAAAATAAGACGATGAGCACCTTTTGGTGGATAAATACCAATAGAAAAATGATAGTAAGCTATGATATAATGTTCCTTCTTTTGAACCCAGTCTACAGTATGACATTTGACAGTGTTTGGTTGAATTTTTGAATCCATCCAGCAACATAATGAGCTATGTGGCCCGACGTGAAAACCTTTCAATGGGGGGAGGGGATGCTCCAAAAGATCTGACAATGTTCACGGACAAATGTCACTACAAAAGTCCACTAGTAACCAGAACAATAACAACACTAATGGAATAATTCTGCAGCAACATACGGTTTGTGGAGTGTTCTGCCCCCTCCACATCCTGCGAGTAAAAATAGATCATTTGGAGGAAAACAAAACACTCTGCAGTGCAGATGTGCCACTCTGTTTGCTCCCAGGAGCACCCATGGAGACGGCTGTTGCTATGGTTACCCCATGCTCTCACTCTCTCTTTCTCGTCTTGTGTTTCTGGTGTGTAGCAGCAGTCCAGGACAGATGTGTGCAGATGAATGTGTTAAGACAGCTACGCTTCAGCCACATGTCAACTGATATGAGGTCTGTTTTGGCATCCTGCCCCCTCCGACTCTTGCTGCCGACCCGTGGGGCGGTTGAGCTACATTTGGAAAGAAGTGGGCGTTCTGATGTGTTGCTTTGCTCAAACAGTGGTCATGTGAAAGAGGGGGTGAGACCAACTAACTCCTCCCATGTCACTCGGAGGCGGAGCTCTGGTTCTGCTGGTAGATGGAGGCTTTTTCCTTGAGCAGGGCCAAGCACAGGTGGCAGCTCCAGCTCCCTGCAAAAACACACAAATAGAATGATTTATTGTGCCAAGTCACCTTCGTGTTGTTCACAGTAGAAACATCAAACACATCTGGGCCTTCTCGTGGAAGAGCATTTCATTGTTCTGCCAATCACTATGAAGACACTGGCATAATCAGATGGACAAACAGTGCATTATTTGGAGTACAGATTCTTTTCATGTATTTTATGGGGGGACTTATTCACCGCTTTTCACTTTTAAAAAATCCTCGTCTTTATTTTATTTATTTTTTTGTGGTCTGGCCAAAGCAACAGAAATAATGTTGGCACCATTTCGGTGTTGCCGTTTGACTTAATTCAATCCACGTGCAAGGTCACAGCCAAAGTCAAAGTCTGTTTTTGCTTCTCATTAGTAATAACAATTAGCCTCTATTGCAGGGGTGGCCAACCCGCGGCTCGCGAGCCGCATGCAGCTCTTTGGCTGGTTCAATGCGGCTCCCGGGCTTTCACACGACAAGCGTCGGCAGTGGCGATGCCATTCAAACGAAGGCGCTAAATACACAGAATGTACTACGTCGGGCTATCATCAATCCCTTTACTTGATTGACATAGAAGGCAACCAATCAGATGACTTCATCACCGCTCATGCGCAAACAACGGCGCTAAGCGCGAAGCTAGTCAGTGAATTACCTCTGATCCTAAGGCAGGGGTGCCCAATATGTCGATCAGAATCGACCGGGAGCCAGCGAACTGGTCCCAAGTCGACCGCAAGGGGTGGGAGGAGGAAATGGGTGGGGGAAAAAAAAAAAGATTTGGTGTTTGTATCTTTAGCTTTCATTCATTTTCGGCCTGTTCCGACTGTTGCTCATCGTGGTGTGCGTGCATATGTGCATGAGTGCACTGGTGTGTATGTGTGTGTGTGCGCGTGCGTGGAAGGGTATATGATGTGGCTTTGCAGTAACACAGTAAAAAAATTGGCCCTTCGTCTCTGACTGGTTGGCCACCCCTGCTCTATTGCCCAACATTCACTATTAGGTGTACTTCCAAAAAGTGACGTTAATGACTTAAAAGGTTTGTATTAAGTGCTAGTGTACATCAAATGAAGCCTTAAAAAA